TTCAAGAAATATTCAAGCCATCGAGTACTAAAGGTGACAAATTACTGCGGAATAAATCATAAAATAACGTATTACACTGGCGAATATGACATGGACGGTTATATAAACCATACAAGAATTGTAAATAATAATATGTATTGTGTAGAACGCTTGAACGTTAATATAGTCAAATTGACTCAAATAGTTGATACAAATTTATTATTACAAAATAATATTTAAAAAATTCAAAATTGTATTCTACATATAACATATGTAAAATAATAATATAATACTGCAGCATGTCGAAAAATAACATTGTTTGAAAACATTTCGGTTTAGGTTGGAACCATTAAATCCCCACGTATGTGTTAATATATATATTATATATATAAATATATATTTAATTTATATTTTCTACATAGGTACGTAGATATTTCTACGTAGGTATTTTAAAATTTTTGTCTCGATAATATTTTTTCTCTTGCAAATTGGCGCAACTATATATTTAAATAGCCGTCTAAACGTTGATGCAAAAAAAATTCGGAAAATGTTACTTTTTACTTACATAGGTGTGGGCGACATACCTGTTGAAGGCTTTTTTACCACAAATTTAATTTGTTATATTTTTTGATTGAAGGATTTAAGATCCGACTTCAAAACTAATACAGATAGTTTAAACGGTCATTGAGGAACACTTTTGGCAAAAAAAAATTTCAAATATTGTAATTATAGTGGGGCAACGGGTTGAAAACGGTTTTAAAACGACGTTTCTGTTACTTAGATTATTTTGTAGAAGGTGCTTATTTTTTCTCTTGGAAATGGGCGCAACTATATATTTAAATAGCCGTCTAAACGTTGATGCAAAAAAAATTCGGAAAATGTTACTTTTTACTTACATAGGTGTGGGCGACGGACCTGTTGAAGGCTTTTTTACTACAAATTTAATTTGTTATATTTTTGGATTGAAGGTTTTAAGATCCGACTTCAAAACTAATACAGATAGTTTAAACCGTCATTGAGGAACACTTTTGGCAAAAAAAATTTCAAATATTGTAATTATAGTGGGGCAACGGGTTGAAAACGGTTTTAAAACGACGTTTCTGTTACTTAGATTATTCGATAGAAGGAGCTTATTTTTTCTCTTGGAAATGGGCGCAACTATATATTTAAATAGCCGTCTAAACGTTGATGCAAAAAAAATTCGGAAAATGTTACTTTTTACTTACATAGGTGTGGGCGACATACCTGTTGAAGGCTTTTTTACTACAAATTTAATTTGTTATATTTTTGGATTGAAGGATTTAAGATCCAACTTCAAAACTAATACAGATAGTTTAAACCTTCATTGAGGAACACTTTTGACAAAAAAAAATTTCAAATATTGTAATTATAGTGGGGCAACGGGTTGAAAACGGTTTTAAAACGACGTTTCTGTTACTTAGATTATTCGATAGAAGGAGCTTATTTTTTCTCTTGCAAATGGGGGCAACTATATATTTAAATAGCCGTCTAAACGTTGATGCAAAAAAAATTCGGAAAATGTTACTTTTTACTTACATAGGTGTGGGTGACATACCTGTTGAAGGCTTTTTTACTACAAATTTAATTTGTTATATTTTTGGATTGAAGGATTTAAGATACGACTTCAAAACTAATACAGATAGTTTAAACCGTCATTGAGGAACACTTTTGGCAAAAAAAAATTTCAAATATTGTAATTATAGTGGGGCAACGGGTTGAAAACGGTTTTAAAACGACGTTTCTGTTACTTATATAATTTTGTAGAAGGTGCTTATTTTTTCTCTTGGAAATGGGCGCAACTATATATTTAAATAGCCGTCTAAACGTTGATGCAAAAAAAATTCGGAAAATGTTACTTTTTACTTACATAGGTGTGGGCGACATACCTGTTGAAGGCTTTTTTACTACAAATTTAATTTGTTATATTTTTGGATTGAAGGATTTAAGATCCAACTTCAAAACTAATACAGATAGTTTAAACTGTCATTGAGGAACACTTTTGGCAAAAAAAAATTTCAAATATTGTAATTATAGTGGGGCAACGGGTTGAAAACGGTTTTAAAACGACGTTTCTGTTACTTAGATTATTTGGTAGAAGGTGCTTATTTTTTCTCTTGGAAATGGGCGCAACTATATATTTAAATAGCCGTCTAAACGTTGATGCAAAAAAAATTCGGAAAATGTTACTTTTTACTTACATAGGTGTGGGCGACATACCTGTTGAAGGCTTTTTTACTACAAATTTAATTTGTTATATTTTTGGATTGAAGGATTTAAGATCCAACTTCAAAACTAATACAGATAGTTTAAACCGTCATTGAGGAACACTTTTGGCAAAAAAAAATTTCAAATATTTTAATTATAGTGGGGCAACTTGTTGAGAACGGTTTTATAACGACGTTTCTGTTACTTAGATTATTCGGTAGAATAATATTATCAGTAGTATAATATTATCAGGCATTATAGTGTTGTATATTTTAAAATTTATTATTTGATTGAGTAAGACGCGTATACTTAATAATTTAACAAAATATCATTTTAATAGGTACTATACGTCTATACTTTTATCCAGATATCCCCAAATATTACCTACTAGATTAGGAAGTTGGCATTTATTACATCATTCATCATTTAAGTTACAAGGTACCTATACCTAAGTTTGCTAGATTTTTGCCTACTATACATAAAACATATTCATAAAATATAATATCACATTTGTAAGTAGTAATTATGAAGTAAACTATACTTGTGTGTGAAGATGGCCGACCAAAAAAAATTGGGTCCTACACCATACTTTTGTACACTGATCTACGACCATAATATTCTACTACTCGAGGGAATCAATTAGGTACATTGTACATTAATTATTCTCTGAGTACGATTGGCGTCGTTAGTGGACCGACGAAATTCAAGATATATTATAGTCCACACTACAACCCAAATGTTACGAATAATTCAATTAGAAATCAAGCAGCAGCGAGCCGTAATAAATACGCAAACTTTCGGAGTTATATGTGTCCATAAAACTGTGGGGAACACACAAAAATAAAATTGAAAATACTTGGTCGTAAAACCAATATTTATACATTATACATAGCTAAAAGCTAAATAGCTTTCTCACTAAACGATTTTGCTGTTGGGTCTAATCAGCCTTCCATGTTCGTTCCAGAATCCAAAATATAGCTTTGAAAAAACCTATGTGTGATATACCTACATATAATATTATATCTTAGTCATTAACCTACCTATTACACGTATTGGCGCCTGGTGGTGAAGTGGTTACTGGTTTGGATAGTCGAAGGGCCGTTAATAGCATGGTATCTTCACTCAGACATGTGAGATACTGAGATTATAGAATAAATATTATAAAGGGGCAAATATGTTCAAAAAAAACAATCAGATGGGTGCAGTGTTTAAAAAATTCAAAGTAAAAAAAATCCAATGGTGCAATTCTCCTGTTTTGCAGGCCATCAGTGTATTGCAGTGATAGTACGTGGACGTTCGAACTGCAAGCAGTGCTCGAATTTTGAAAAATTAAGTAGAGGAGCTCAATCCAACGATTTAAAAACTGAGTTCCATGGGTGAAATTACTCAAAACAGACCCGTGGGGGACTTTGTCTCCCACACCCCCACGATCCTACCTTCATACATTTTGAATACCACTTTACAACAACACATTTTGAATTCAAAATAGGTATAACATATTTTGATAGCAATATCTACATCTTACATTGTTATAGAAAAAAAATTAAAAAAATTAATAATAATCTAGGTACCTGTTTATTCAATATACTATAATATAGATAACAAAATTAATAACTATTGTTTTTGATTCAAAAGAGGTCGTTTTGCATGGATTTTAATACTAAATTTACAATTCAAGGCCAAATTTATCACAGAATTGTATAAAAAATAAAACTATAAAATCCTATCCATAGGTAATTGAGTGATTTTATATCATAATATATTTTATAATTAGTTTTTATATAAATTGTATTTTTTTTATTTCTATTTCTTTTTTAGATTCATTATATCACTTTATTCTCATTGGATTTGTTTTTATATTACTACTATAATAATATTATTTATTAACTTGAACTTGTAAATTGGACATGAGTCCGTATGAATTTAAAAATAAATAAATTGGGTAAGAATAATATTATGATTAGGTATTTCATAAATAACTGTTCGGGTAAGTAGATACCTATGTTATTTAATTTAAATACCTACTTACCTATACCTACCTATATTGATTGGAATATTGGATTTGAATAGTATATTAAATACATTAACTACAAATGAATAAAAATGTATAAAACGTATAAAACGTACAATTTTAGTGCTCAATTAACATAATATTGTATTTTAGGTAGGTACCTACCTATAAATTTATAAAGAATCAAATTATTTTTCAATTGATTTAAAAACATTGATACACTTCCAGGGCTATTACAGACATTGGGAAAACAATTAAAAATTTAAAAATCTACTGAACATAGAATATTGGATTTGGATATCTATCGCAAGAAAATTAAAAATATACATAATATGTAATTTATCATAGATAATCTATTATCTATGTAATTTATAATATTATTTTTAAAAAAAGCTACAGGCACGATTAAAGATATAATCGTTATATATATATATAGATTTAGTCATATAGATATAATCACGGTTTAAGATAGACTGTCTATCTCAAACCGTGGATATAATATATATATTATATAATATAGATATTGTGGCTACAGGATTGCTCTATTACAATTTACAGCATAGAACAGGTAACAGGTCACAGGTGCGACTACAGCGCAGCCTGTGGCAATTTAATCGTTCGCTTTTTTGCGACTAGTTTTGATAAGCTACGACCGCCGACTGTTTGGTCTCCTTATCAGTCATCTAGATTTCCAGAACGTTTAATAAAATACTGTTTGTCTGTTTCATGAACTATAAAGTGTCTTAATAACTAAATAATAATAATACTGCTTACTAATTACAGAATGGAAAACCGAATAGTTTGTGTGCCGGGTAAGTTTTTCATGATATGTATAAATTATTATACTTGCGTATTACCGTCAAATAACAATTTTTAAACTAGTTAGTACCTAGTTTTTATTTTATTTTAGTTTTAATTTTAATTCGTAATAAAATTACATTTTTATCGAATTATTTGTGACGCTTTTAAATAACTATTTATATTATGTACCAGTTGATCTTTTGTAGATTTTTTTTTATAGAAGATAATTTGTTTATTATAATTTTCAATAATAAAGTTGAATTCCATTCAATAATGTAATATTATTGTTATTTGATAAATACTAATAATATTCTGTGTATACTTACAATATTTAAAATGTAGAAAATACACTTTCTCCCACTTATTTCAGTTTTATATTGCCTCTATGCTACAATATCTGTATAACATCGTACATTTTGTGAGTACTTATGCTAAAAAAATGTAAGCCAAAATTATGTCTATAATTATTACGAGCTTATAGGTCGTCAATCGTATATTTTGAACATGAATTTATTTTCACTCACACTCACACGACCGGCCCAAACTTTAAGCGGTCCACTGAGCTTTTCAATCCGGCCCTGGCTGCATTGTTATAAATTATAATCATACTAGGTGATACACAAAACTCAAATTTATACGTAAAAGTTTTTGTTAAGATTTATACCTGATTGTGTGATTCTGAGATGTTGGTAATTTCAAATTTCAAATACATAGCTTTTATGATTGACTTCAACTTTGTAAAAATATTGTTTAAAATTAATTTTTCTCAATGCAATACAAATGTCATGACTATACCATAGTATGATTTTGTTTTTGTTTTAAAGATATTCATTTTTGTTATTAAAATAAATTAATAATTGCATGTAGGTACTTGTTTGTACCCACTAATATTTTGATTTAATTAAAAATATTACCTGTAGGTACTATTTTAAATGATGTATATATTTGTTGTTATAATACTTGTAATGTTATGCCAATTTAAATTAGTCTTTATTATTTATTACCTTTTAATTATGTACCCATCGACTATCGAATATAATATATTAAAAAGTGCTTAATTATTTTGTAAAAACAGAATAGTTTTTTTACTCAAATGATTTGTTTATATTTAGGACAACGGCTTTGTCGACTAGATTCAACACACACCTTAGGTAAAGGGACATACAAAAGACAAGATTACATTTATTCTAGTTTGGCTGGAATCGTGAATGTAGATAATACAAACAGTAAGGTGAATAACGGAAACTATGGAATTATAAGAAAAAAAGTAAAAATAGTATAAACTAATCATTTGTTTTAGATATCTGTAGTGGAAGTTCTAAGTAAAGATCAGACTATTGTTCCGGCACCTGGAGACATTGTAACAGCAATGGTAATATAACTTTAATTTACAATAATAATTAGTATAGTATAATAATGTATATGTTTTTCCTGTTAGGTTACTACATTAAACCAAGACATGTGCAAGTGCCTTATTACAAGCGTCTGTGGACTGGAGTTGAATGAAACATATAGAAGTAGCCTAAGAAGACAAGACGTACGCATGAAAGAAATTGACAAAATTGATATGTTACAGTGTTTTAGACCGGGAGATATAATATTGGCTAGAATAGTAAGTGACACACATTGATAATCTGATTCTGATTCTCTTAATATTTACGACACATTTAATTTTCAGTTGCCAATGACTGAAGCTCATACCTTCAAACTAACCACTGCTGAAAATGAACTTGGTGTAGTTATTGCGTGCAGTGAATATGGTGGGTGTTTACTGACCTATGGTTTTATTTACTTTAAAACTCATATTGTGTAATTTTTAGGACATCCAATGACCCCGATTAGTTGGACGGAAATGAAATGTACAAAAACAAGTGCAGTAGAATACCGAAAAGTAGCCAAAATTGTTCAAGACAATGCTGATGAAAACAATTAAAGATATAAACTAGTTTTTTTTAAATATACACATTTTTGTGTATGAATGGTTTTTTTAAGGTTCATATTTTGTTGTAAAATAAAACAAAACAATTTAAAAAGAGAAAAATTATAACAGTATTTATTACATTTTTATTCCAACACTATAAGATGAAATAAAATAAAAAACCTATGTCAAGAGACTTGAGAAGACTTAATTTTATTTAACTTTTTAATTTGAGCAAGCTTATAAAATTCTTGCAATTCTTCTTCAAACGACACTTTTTCAGGAGTTTGTGCTTTCACTACTGGTGCTAAAGGTTGTTTGTATCCATACCAGTCGGTTAACCATTCATCGTCTAAACAATTTTTAATTACATTAAATAGTTGTTTTTTTTTTTTTAATACAAACATATTACTTACCTAAATCATAGTAAGGAGTTTGAGTTTGTTTTCGTTCACCAAATCTAATATCCAATTGAACATCAGTTTCATCGTCATTTCCATGAGCGATAGCACGGTCAGCCTCTGAATTCTCAGAATACGTTACGAATGCATAATAAACACGAAAACTATAAAATATAAAAAAAATATGTAAAAATAAAAATTGATTATATTTGGTAATTATTTTTATGTACTCTGGTTTTTTATGAAGCGTTAAAGATTGTATTGTACCAAATTCCTTGAACCGATTGTATAAATAACGCTTTCCAAGTTTGATTGGTATCTGTCCAACATATACTACTCTTTTCTGTTCTTTGGGCCTAGATAATTTAATTTGTACAGTAACAAAACGTTTTGAATACACTTTCTAGTATAATTAAGCAATAATGCGTATCCGCATTACCTTTGAAGAGAGGTTCGTGCATTTTGATTATATTGTGATCCTTGTGAAGGAGCATCAGTTCTGTTACGATTATAATAATCATCTGGATTGGACGATATGGATGATGAGCGGCTACTTTTATTATTATAATCAGACCTTATAAATCAAAAGATAAAATATTAATAATTAATATATATATATATTTTTTTTTATTATTGAGCTTGAGCTCCGCAACTTAGGCCATAAGCTGTTTTTGTTTGTTAGTAGGGGAGGAACGGTTTAAACATGTTTTTGTATGTGTGGCAAGGATTCGTTGTTAAGAATCCCGGTTGGTCACCCATCTGGGAACTAGCAGCGCCGGCCATTATGTACACTCAGTGCGTTTCCGCAGTTGAGTGTAAGCACTGCGCCACACTAAGCCACTAATATATATTATATTGCTTATAAATTGTAATAATTTATAACTCTCACCTTGATGAGTTACGGTGGGACGAATGCACTCTAGTTTGGTGACCTTTTTTTTGGGACTTATCATGTGTGTTTGAATATTTTCCTTGTGTTTTATCATTGGACAACATCGAATCATCGGAAGTACTTTCATTATCTGAAAATAAAATAGAATTTAATAAATATTATAAAGGGTTTTAGATTAAAAAATTCACCATTATCTTCTACTAAACTACTGCCCTTCATCAAACTAGAGGTCTTTGCTATTTCTGATGCTAAAAGAACAAAACAGTTTTAGTTAGTTTAAGGGCTGCTATTCTACAATATGATAAAAAAAGTACTTTAATTAATAAAAAGTGATTTAGTATCACAAAAATAAAATACATAAACCTACTAATAAAATTTTAAAAAACAATTTATTAAAATTTAGCTTTATACAAAATTAGTCCTTTAGTTTAATCATAATAAAATAATACAATATTACCAAAAGATGATGGTAGAAGTTTTTTAATGTATTCAATTTTCATCCGCTTTTTTTGCAATTCTTCTTCTTCATTGTTTATTTCTTTAGCAGTAGTATTTTGTTCTTCTTTATCATCAATTTTCCTTTTTTGGCCAGTGAAATGTTCAGCTGTGTTTCGATCAAACTCTTCTTTCATTGCTTTCATTTTAACATTATCTGTTTCAACAATGTCTATTGAAGGCTCTTCTTTAATTTCTAAAAAAAATTACATAAAAATTTAAATTATGGTAAACAATATAGTATGTATTATTATTATGTACAAATGTTACCTGAAATATTTATCAAACCCATTTTTTCTCTTTTTGCTCTAAATTCTTCCCACGAAATTTTTTTTTTATCTGTTTGAGAATCTATATCCTCAGTTTTTATTGAGGATGCAATTGGTAACATGTTTTTTATGATAACTTCTTGACTTTCTGCATTTTCGTTAATTAAATCAGAAGAATGAATTTCATTTGGTTCAACAAATTTCATTTCTTTTTCAGATTTTAAATTAATTAAGGCATTTGGTTGAATAGTGTTATTATCATTTTCAGGTTCACGTTTTATAATGGGTATTTTATATTTCACTGAAGTTAGATTATCTTTTGGTTTGTAATTAAGGTTGTATATTAAGTGGTTTTTAGAATTGTCAATTGTTTTGATAGAATTGTCAATTGTTTTGATAGAATTGTCAGTTGTTTTGATAGAATTGCCGTTAGTGCCTCGATATTGAGAAGCAAAACCTTTTGGCGATGAAACAATTTTATCAATTTTTACTAAACTATGACTTACAACAGTACTTTTTATACCATTAGAGGAAGAATAGGAGGGATTAGTCACCATTTCAATATTTTCTTTACTAGTGTCATTGAAATCTTCAGGTTCACGTTTTATAACAGTTGATGCAAGTTTAACTGAAATTTGATTATTCCTAATTTTTTTTGGTTCAAAATGAAAATTATGTGCTATGTGTTTAACACTATCATTTTCAGTAGCTTTTATAGACTTTTTATTCTTAGCTTGACGCTTAGCTGCAGAATTTTTTAATAATGATGATAATCTAATTTCTTCTTTTACAAAATTGAGGTTATTTGATGTATAGTTCAAGTTGTCAGCAGAATAATAAGGTTTCACTTCTTTTTTAACAATGGGTTTTTCAATAGAGTTATCAACATTTTCAGGTTCAACAATTGGTTGTTGAACTTTAACAGAGATTTGATTAGTACCTAAATGTTTTGACTTACTAGGATGCTTAACATTATTGTTAGTTTTTAAAGATATTTTATTAATACCCTGATCCTTTGAAGTTGACTTTTTTAATAATAAAGGAGTAACACTATCTATAACTTTAACCACATTATGACTACTATTTGAACTTTGTGAACCATATTTACTGACACTATTTTTGACTTTCACCATATTGTGACTATTTGATGTAGCTTGTGAATCATCATTAGAATAATGAAGGCCAACAATGGTTTCTTCAATAATTTCATTTTCATCTATAGGTTCGCATTTAATAATTGGTGTTTGAACTTTAATTGGAATTTGATAATTAGCTAAATCTTTAGGTTCACAAAAAGGACTAAAAAGATATTTAGAGTCAGAATTATCAGGAGTTTTAATAGAAATTCTGTTAATTCCTCTACGCTTTGGAGTAGAACTTTTTAATAATGAAGATGAAACAATATGTTCTTCACTTTTTTTCAAACCTGTGTTATTTTGTAAATCATCATCATAATAATATGGATTTAATTCCATTTCAACCAAGTTTTCTTCAACATTATCATTGACATCTTCAGCTTCACATTTTACAATAGATGAGTTAATATACCCCAACATTTGATTATTAACCTGTTCTGTTTCACAAAAAGGATTATGTATGAGATGCTTGACATCAGAAGTTCCTGTTGTTTTTATAGAAGTTCTATTGATGCCTCGCTTCGGAGCAAAACTTTTTGATAATGATGGAGAAGGAATATTTTCTTCTATTTTTACAAAACTAAGACTATCAGTAGTATCTACAGAATTATCAGCGGAATAACATTCATTTAACGGTTCTTCTTTTTCAATTTTAATTGTGATTTGACAGTCTTTATTTTCTGAAACAGAATTTTATGTATTAATATTTATTAAAATAATGATAATGATTATGTTAGACATATAATTACCATGAGTACTAAACAGTTCTTGGTCAAATAGTTCTGAAAAACTCATATTTTTACAATCTTCTGGAAGTTCAAAACCTGTATTATATCTTGATACCCTAAAACATAAAAATTATAATTATAGACAACCACATTAAAATTACAATACTTTTAGGACTAAATTAAACCTAAATTGAGAAAATTGTGTATATAGGGTGTCCCGTGAGGATTTACCTATTAGCCGTAGAGGGGGACTCGCCGCCCGGACAAAAACCGGTTTTTTGCCGTTTTACTTATTAATTAAAAAAATTATTAAAAATCAGGAAATTAATGAAATTAAAATGTTGAAACGTCAATATTTTCAGAAAAATGAACTCTACAAAATGGCAATCTTCAATATTTTTTTAAATAATTAATTAAAAAAATAATTTTTTTAATTTTTTTACCAAAACATAAAAAAAAAAATAAAAAATTAGTTATTTGTAGTGCTTACCTCTGTGAGTTTTAATAAGAAAACAGAATTACGATATCTCTATTATTTCAGGAGATATCGCAATGAGTAAATCCTCACGGGACACCCTGTATATATATATAATATATATATATATATCATTGTTTAAAAAAATGGGAAGGTAAGTAAAATGCTCTGCTATAAAGTAGGTGCCTAGTGTACCCCATCAATGAGTAAGACACTGTAATCTTGTGTTTAATCTGAATTGAATAATTAAACCATTGCATACGAAAAATTATTCTGAGCAAAAAAGGTCTGTCAGCCTATAGAACTTATATTTTATGATAAATTTAAACATTGTTATTTAAGTAATTTATTTTACTATCTATCAGTAATACAGTAGGTTGAATTCATTTTTGGCAAAAAAATTTGCATTTATAATATAAATTATCTTTTGAGTCAATAAAGACTTACCATAGAGCAGTGTGAATAGATTTATAGTATAAATATGCAATAGCATAAAATTAATCTAAATGTTTGAAAATGTCATTGTGTATATAAAATAAAATAAGTTAAAGTTTCAAGTCCTCTCCAATATTAATTTTGAATTACAATAAAATAGGTAATTAAAATTGCTGTTCTTTGATTAAATATCTAAAGTCATCTAAATTTGAACTTGAAATGTGTATAACAAAAACACTGTTTATATATTTATAGATTTTTGGTTTCAGTATAACAACTTATGAGAAACCTTGTATTAAATTTTCAATTGTTTATCACAAAAATTAATGTTTTTCCGGTTATTTTGAAAAATAGTGATTTTTATACTTCTTAAGAACCACCTTGATCCAATTTCCTATTTCAGAATATTAACAATCTCAACTCAGTTCTCAGCCCCAGCCACATATTTAAATGTAAATGCAACTTTCTATAATCTAGGACTTTCTAAGTTGCGAGTTGGTAAATCCTTATACAAAGCATTTTCACAAATTAATGAAGTTCCTCAGAGCTTAACAATTTCAGTCACTGTATTCTTTATTGCCATTATTATTAAAATCCCATCAACTTTATACGCCAACAACTTCAATATATATTGCAGCGGTAAAAGCATAACAACTTACGAAATGCAATTACAGGTTCTACTTCTCCCTCGATAAATCTTAAAATATAATCAACACAAAGAAATGCAAAAACTGTCCTATAAATATCAAAATTGTTAATAAAACTAAGTAACAGCAACATAATTAAAATGTTAGGTATCCATTATGTTTGACAAAAAATAATAATGATCAAAACATATCAAACATCTAAAAAATGTTATTGTTACACATGCTAAACATTACTTAAGTTCTCTCTAATTCCACATGGGACACTAAAACCCATATTCAAACACAGGTCTATAAATCTTTTATTCTATTAATACTGAATTATGACACTTTAATCTGGTCAAATGCTAATAAATCTGGTTTTAGAATGTCCATGAGCGCTTAACGCTAAATTCCAATCCTCACAATCTAACTGACATTCCTCCACTTGACTTAAATTCTCATTAAATCAGGAATTAATACTTGCTAGTACCATATCATCAATAAGAAAACCTCTCAATCCTACGATTGAATCCCCATGAATGAATACTATTGACACCTTGATTGATACTAACATTTAACTCTCGACATTTAAAAAAAAAAACTCAAAACCTCCATCAATTTACAATGAATATTGAATAGGCATTATGTTTATATTTAAAATTATTTAAAATAATAGGCAAATATGCAATTACTTGCATGGATACATGTTATATATATTTATTAAATGATTAATAATTAGTGCCTATGAAGTATGAATATATTATAAAATAATTAATAATAGTTTTATAAATATATAAATCAAATCTAGATTTTATCAAAATATACTCTATACAAGTTAAGAACCGTAATCGACAGGGAACTGATTTTGGAGAGTGCCAATCAGGCCAAAAACCACCTAACCATCGAGTCTACTATCTGTATGCCTATTTTGTAGTGAAGCCGCCCTACTGTTCACATATGGGCCGCTGAGTATGATTTTTAAATTGAATAACATTGCTATATATTATAGTAATAATTATATCATATATTACATTGATAAACAAGAAATTAACAAATAATGATTAAAATAATAAAATATAATTTTTAACAATCATATACAAAATAAATTTGTAAATTAAAAAGACAATTCAGGCACTTTGTTTACATGACTCTTAATCAACAATCAATTAAAAACATGTTTTGTGTTTGAAATTTATGTTTTTCATTGTTTATTAGATATTAAACTGTTGGTAATGCAATTTAATTTGCTTATCAATATGATTGAATTAAAAACGAGATCCTACTTTTTATTAAGTAAAACCCTATCTATTATCTTATCATAAAAAACTAAACAAATAATTTTTTTGTAAGTTTTCATTGACTCTAATTGTTGTGTTCATGAAATATTCTACACTTTGAAGTGTTATTATAAAATATAATATAATATAACCTTGAAAAAAATGTTCAAGATAACTTAAATTAAATTAGAAAAGGTCAATATAAATTATAATAATTACATATTTTAATATATTTATATTAAAAATGTTATCAATTTTTCACAAACTCTACTAAGAATATTTGATCTAACTAGTAACTAACCTAACTCAATGATATCAGATATATATATATATATGTATAGGTGATTTGCAAAATTTAAATATTCAACTCATACTAGTCTCATATCCCATCTTATTTATTCTTACATGAGGCGTAATTATTCTTTTATAATAGAATAAATACCGTTTCTTAATCATAAGCATACAAGCGTCCCACATAAATAAGTAGGTACAGTGAAAATAATTAAATATATATTTAATAATCATAAAATAACTTACGACGAATAATATGAATCAAAAATATAATCCAAATTGGCTTGATTACTAATCTCATTCACCTAAAACAAATAAAAAGTTCAATGTTAAACAATACCTTCCATTTTTCAACGATGTGAAAAAAAAACTATAAAAATGATCTGTACCTCGGCCATGTCATAAGGTGTAGACTGATCATTGAAAGAGAAACAGTCATTTACTGGTGACCTACAAAATGAAATATATATAAAGCTGGACAAAAAATGATGGAAATCTGAAACTCACTCTATCACGTCTGAATACATAACTGCCAATTTAAAACTAAGCGGTATGATAAAACTTGCCAAATGTTGTCTTTGTTAGTATCTATGCGTAATAGTGTTTATGTATAAAATATTATAGGTACCTATATAAATCTATTACGGCACAACAAAAACAACTACAAGTGCAAGAAATACTCAAACATCGTACCTAGCAAGGATAATTTACCTAAAAACAAAAAAATAACAAAAAAAATAAAAATGGTTTGAAAACAGTAAAAACCATGCAAGGTGGTGAAAAACAAGTATTAGCAACTGGTAGTGACATTGTTTTTCAGCGGTTATAGCTACTATATTAAAACTATAGACTTACCTAACCTAAAAGACTTGAAAAACGTACAGTGCCCTTCAGAAGTAGAAGTAATAGGTAGTACACTACACTTTAATAGTAATAAAAATAGTAGTAGTAGTAGTAGTAGTAATAGTAGCAACTATTTAGCAATTTTATCGTAGACGGTTGTGTTGTAGTACTAGGTGGTAACTGAATAGTGCGAGTACCAAGTAGTTGATTAATAGAATATATTAGTACAATGACGGTGGTTTTTGAAGTTATTGGAGTAGCAGCTGGAACAACAGCGATCTACGACGTACTTGACGAAGTCCAGTTCAAAGGAAAACGGATCGCGCACTTATCCGAGAAAAAATAATCCACCGCTTAGTCGGGCCGACGTCGTTTGTTGTTTAGGAACTATTATTATTAATAACACACCGACCGGATCAGCGCTATTATATTATTCTATTGTAATTTTGTACTATGTAAAACGACAACACAAAATAAAAAACAAATAAAACGTGCCGTGCGCGCGCGTGTACGTACGACGTACACCGTACGTAAGTGCGTTTAACGTTTGGCGTTTACGCTAAGCCGTTTGCCGACAACGATATCAGCGATGTCGACGTTTTTACTGTTTATCGACGACGACTTGCCTCACACAGTCACACCGCTCTCGAATTTATTATTTATAACTAAAAAATATATTTTATTTTAATGGACCGCGTCTTCCTCGTCTAAAATCTACTCGGTAGTCAGTACTCGTCTTTGTACAATCGGACTTCGACATTGGACAACCTCACGTGGTCACATGCTCTGTTATCACTTGACGGCCGTGATTGTGATAGAGATGCGATAGCGCGGCAGTCGTGGAAGAAGACGTTACGTCGTAGATACGTCGCAGTCATGCTACCCGATTACCGGCACGCCTAGTACCAGTAGTACTCACGATTCACGAATACCTTACAGATCATGTATTTTTGATGTGAAAACATCTTATGTGGCGTTCAGACTTTTCCGTTTGGGCAGTGAATTTTTTCGAGCGTTATTCGAGCGTTACCCTTTTCGCGTAACGCTAGCGCTTCCGACGTGCTGATTGGCTGAGACTCGGTGCGACGCGACGCAACGATAGGCCGCCTGTGCTCAGGGGGCGTGGCTTCATTACGATCACGGACATCGAACATAGTGCGGGCGAGATTGTCAAATTAGTTCATCGTTGACAACCAACGTGAACAGTTAACTAAAAATGTATTGTATACATATAATATTACTATTTGATCACATGCGCAGGCGCGCAACTACGAACGCGTCGTACTCGTACATCGTCTGTTGTCGCGCGTTGGTAGTTCTCGAGGGCGTTTTTCGTTGATAAACACTATAAACATTAAACAATAAACATGGTCCAGGGCATAGATAATATATTATCTATGGTCCAGGGCTTGAAAACGTTATCAAAATTATCGGTTAACGCTAGGAAATTCTATAACGTCGGTAAACGTTGAAATTTTGATAACAGAGAAATTCGAAATGTTTGTTTGCTAAGCAATAAAGTAAACATTTCAAACGTTATGATCCAGCGTTTTGTCTGTTCAGTAGTTCAGTTCCAATAACCAATACCTACCGTTGTTGAATTTGCTTAAACTTTTTTAATCAAAAGTACCTACCTATATTTATTGATGTGAAAATCGTTTTGCATGACAGTGTAAATTTTCGAGCGTTACCTTTTTCGTAGGTAACCGAGCAAATTTTCTATGGAGTTAATATTTTCGGACTTGTAATTTTTTTTTTCAAAATTTTTCGAAAAACACCGAAAATTCTTTTGCCACTAACAGACTAATTATGACGTCAGACTGGGCGTCAACCTTGGGGGTAGGTCAAGATCGGAATTCCTGCCGAGCGAATTTTCTATGGAGGTAATATTTTCAGACTTGTGATTTTTTTCCATATTTTTCGAAAACCACCGAAAATTCTTTTGCCAATAACAGAGTAATTCGGACGTCAGTCTGGGCGTCAACATTGGGGGTAGGTCGAAATTGGAATTCATACCGAGCGAATTTTCTATGGAGGTGATATTTTCAGACTTGTGATTTATTTCCAAATTTTTCCTTCAAATTCTAAGCTCATATAATATATGTTTTCACATCTTATGAGGGTCGCTTGAGACACACGCGTTTTTTTTTTAGATTTTTTGGTAACAGAATTAACTACTTACGTGGAATCTTCTTTTAAATTTTTAATCCTTAGATATAAAAGTTGAACATTTTATAAATTTTTAACTACAAAATAATTATTCAATTTTAAATTTGATAAATTTTGTCAAAATTCGATCTTTAAATGCTTATGGTTTGAGAAGTGTTTTGTAAATCAGAAGTTTGGTTTTAATGGCGGTGGAGTTATTATTGCTTATTAAGGGTTGGAGGATACGGAGACGATGATTCAGTGCTAATCTTTTGATTTTGATGTGATGAGCCCAGGTTAATCTTTGGCCGAGGCCCGAGAGTGAGCCCGAGATTTTTGATTTTTGGAGAGTAAGGGATAGGAATACCGTATAGAAAAACTGTAGGAAGCATGTTTGAGGTGAAGGTAGTATGTACAGATTTGCTTTGGTTTACTTTGAATCGCCAGTTGTAAACCATTTTTCCATGGACTTAAGGTGAGTTTGGAGATTATATGACGCTATGAATGGATCATTGTCAATAGATATTATTGCTTTATCTTCAGCGTAGTCTGCTACGGATGTGTTGGGGGTAGTTGGTTGGTCAGAAGCGAAGATATTGTACAGAATAGGAGATAAAATGCCCCTTGGGGAACACCAGCATTGATAACTGCTACGTCAGATAACGCAGAACCGAAGCGTATTTGAAAATGCCGATCTGTTAGATAGGATTTAATAAGTAAGTAGTAGGTGGGAGGCAGGAGTTTCTTAAGTTTATACTGAAGCCCGTCATGCCATACGCGGTCGAATGCTTGTGAGATGTCTAGAAACACGCAATTGCAGAACAGTTTTTTTTCCAGGGAATACGAAATGGAATCTACGACTCTGTGTGTTTTATGAATAGTCGAGTGAGAACCGTGAAACTCAAATTGGGTGTTTGGAAGAATATTTTTTTCAGTAATTATCGGGAGAATTCGTTTCAGAATTAACTGTTCCAGTATTTTGGCGAAAAAAGGGAGAAGGCTGATTGGACGGTGTGATGATGGTAGGTCAGGTGGTTTGTTTGGTTTTGGAAATAAGATTATAGATGCGAATTTCCATAGTAGGGGAAAATAGGAAAGTATGAGTGAAGCATTAAATATATGAGTGATGTGAACTATAGCTCTAGTTGGAAGGGATCTGGCTACTTCCGCAGTAATGCAATCGTAGCTTGGTGATTTTTTTAGAGCATATTTTTGTATAGCATATTTTACATCATTAGGTGTAAATTACTTTACAGGGAAAGACACTGGGAGGAGAGTATTTAAGAACGTTTCGACTTGATTCATGTTTTCATCGTCTATGATATCGGCGTGTGGTTGAAATTTATTAGCAAGATAAAGAGTTCAGCTGTTTCGATATCCGAAGTAGCTAAGCTACCATCTGATTTTTTAATTGGAAGATTAGGAGATTTATAGCAAAGTATTTGTTTTGTTTCTCTCCATAGGCTACCGTCTAAGGGAGTGAGTTTCATTAAGTGATTTTGCCATATGTTTGACTTAAATTCAGTGAGCAGTTTTTTTAGTGAATTAACTAATTTGTTGTAATTAAGTTTATGGGAAGGTAAACGCGTACGCTGGTATAGAGCTCTTGCTCTTCTTTTTTCTACAATTTTGTTACGTATATATTCAGGAAGTGGGCTTGCAGAAGGAGGTGCTGGCATTGTATTTGTAGCCGACCATGCTGCAGTTTGTATTATGTTGGTAAGATTGAGGACCGCTAGGTCTATGTCATTGGGTGATTTTAATTTTGTGTTTAGCTTAATTTTTGTGTTGACTAGTTCGTGAAATTTATGATCTGTGAATTTGTTAAATAATTTGTTGGATTCTTTAACAGAAGGGGAAGTATTGATGAATGGTCAGAATTTAAATCGAGTAAGTTTTTAGTAGAGTGGAACAAGGTGTTCGGTAAATTGGAGACAAACATATCAAGAATATCAGGGTTTTTACGGGCCGAAGAAGGCCAATAGGTTGGATCAGGTGGGGCTAGAACTTTAAATCGCTTAGTGTTTATATAGTTGTATAAGGTGACTCCTCGGAGGTTATTCACGCGGCATCCCCATGACTGATGTTTGGCGTTAAATTCGCCGCCTATGATAAAGTTATTATTAAATGAGTTGAAGTAGTCGGCGAATTGAGTGTTTTTTATATTATGTTTTGGGAATAAATAAACAGCAGCAATTATAAGTGAAGTATTGTTTAACTTTAGGTTAATAGCACACGATTGGAGAAAGGATTGAGAAAACCTAGTTAAGGGATAAAATTCAATATTAGATTTAATAAAAATAGAAGTACCTCCGTGCGCGGTATTGTCGGGGTGATTTGATTTAATTAGAGTATAACCGGGGATATGTATATGGGAGAATTGAGTGAAGTTGGTTTCAGAAATGAGGGCAACATCAATGCGTTTGCTGTTTAATACGGTTTCAAGGTCAAGGACATGGTTTTTTAGTCCATTGGCGTTAGATTGTAATATTAAAAGCGAATCGTCTGTGACTGATTTATTGTAGTTATTATTAGTCATTATTTGTCGAGGAGCTTGGATATTACATTAGTTAATAGAGAAATTAGTGGATTTATAATATTTTTGAATTTGTCTAAAAAATTAGTTAATAATTTTTTTTTTCTTAAATCAGGCGGCTGAGTATCAGTAGAAGGAGGTTTTGAAGATTTACATATAAAATTGTCGACACCTATAAGCTCTATTAAGTCTGTACATAGTGCGAGAAAATCTTCGACACGTTTAACAAATATAGGTGGAGGAGGTTTAATTAGTGTGTTTTCATTTTCCATTATATCGTTTTCGGCATCATTTTGCTGAGAGTTTTTAGATATATTTTCAGTAGTGGGTGGGTCAAATGGATCTTCTCGGGCAAGTGATTCGAACCTGTTGGGTGAAGCAAAGATTTTTTTTATTTGTTTTTTGTTTAGCATTTATATCCATATTCGCATTCGGAGATGAGGGTTCGTATAGTGAGTTTAAAGAGTTGGAGTGTAGACGTTTATTTGATTGTGTTGACCATCCAGTGTCTAAAGTGTTAGCTTTTGTATTAGCTTTTGAATTCGTTGTTGTAATGGATTTTGAGATAGTAATCGGTTGAGCGGTTTTGTTCGTTTTGTTTTTATTTATATTATTAGGATTGTTTGGTTGATTATTATTCATGGTGATTTTTATAGAGAGTTAATGATGTTATTAGACTTGGGATAAGTTAAACATTACCATCAGCTTGATAACGCAGTGAGCGCAGGGCCCGACGGCGAGCACTAACAACTATGCTATCGGAACAGATAGCGGTGTGCTAGAGTCTAGCAGTGGTTTTCAACCTTTTTTGGGTCGCGACCCCCTTCAAAAAAAATGTTGTTTTATTCATCAAAATTTGATTTAATTACTGACAAAATATTTATTTGTTATACGATTTTGATTAATTTACACTTAAAAATTTAATTAATTCATAATACAACATTATTTTAAAACAATACAAGCATAAACAATAAATTTAAATATAAAAAAAGCTTGAGCTTGAGCTTTTGAAATGATTGTTTCCATATTAGGTTTTATATTAGAGACTGCAACTCTTAGATCTGATTCTAAGTTTAATTTTGTCCGATATTTGTTTTTTATAACTGTAAGAGCTGAAAACGCCGAAAAACTTACCTTTCACAAAGGTAAGTGGTTGCAAATGGCAGAAGTGTTGATACAGCTACTTTTGACAATTTTGGGTATTCTGATTTTATAGAAATCCAAAATTTATCACTTGTAGTTTCATTAAATTTTATACGCAGATTTTCATCGGCAGATAACTCAATTAATTCCTCGTTCATAACTAAACTTAATTCAGAATTCATTTCATTTATATTAATAGAAAATGGATTTCTTATCCATCCCAACTTTTTTTCTGGAAACTTTTCAAACCGTGTGTTAAAATGGTTTTTCAAATTTTCGAGATGAAGTAATATTATGTCTTTTATTTTTTTAATATCAAATATTTCATTGTCAGCAATAAGTTCTGAAAAACATGAATAGGTCCTAAAGGCTATTACCTATGACCAGGGCCCCGCAATACCTAGCGCCGGCACTGGTTACAATGACGTTACTCTTATGATATTTAATAAGTTTCATAAAGTTCGTGCTCAGACACCGTACAGTCCGCACGTTTATTGTCTAGCACACCGCTATCTGTTCCGATATCATAGTTGTTAGTGCTCGCCGTCGGGCCCTGAGCTCACTGCGTTATCAAGCTGATGGTAATGTTTAACTTATCCCAAGTCTAATAACATCATTAACTCTCTATAGAAATCACCATGAATAATAATCAACCAAACAATCCTAATAATACAAATAAAAACAAAACGAACAAAACCGCTCAACCGATTACTATCTCAAAATCAATTACAACAAAGAATTCAAAATCTAATACAAAAGCTAACACTTTAGACACTGGATGGTCAACACAATCAAATAAACGTCTACACTCCAACTCCTTAATCTCACTATACGAACCCTCATCTCCGAATGCGAATATGGATATAAATGCTAAACAAAAAACAAAAAAAAAAAAATCTTTGCTTCACCCAACAGACAGCCACATATTGGCGCTTGAGGAATCGGCCAGAGGCGCTTAAGACTCGGCCGGTGGAATTACCGTTGGACGTGTCAAGTTCTTCTATTCAATAAACAACGCACAATCGATTTAACAATCACTAACAGCTCGGGTCCTCACACACCGTGCGGACCTAGCTCACTAGTACTAACTAGTTGCAACTGACTACTAAAACTAACCTACAGTGGGAGAGCCACACACACTGTCATCGGTGACTCCCACCCATGCCCCATTGCCCCGATGTTATCATCCGGTCGTCCTGACCTCTCTGTTGTCCTCAACAGCAGAATATATACTGAGGCATTACATTTAGTAACGTTCAACTACAATTACAAGATTCACAATCCTTAACTTACAATTAACAATGTTTTAACAATTTTACATAATATTCAACAAAATGTCTCAGTCTTAGACAACAAATTACATAATGATTAATAATAGTAAACTTAGAAATTCAATCAACAAACGTCTCAGTCTTAGACAACAAATTACATAATGATTAATAATAGTAAACTTAGAAATTTCAATTAAACAATGTAGTCATCATGCCACACAGGTGGCCTTCTCACCCTGCCAACCTTTCCTTGAACTGAGTCAGACGTCTCTTCAACTTCCTTCCCTCCAACAGTCCCACTACGACCAGACTCTTCAGTCGTTTCTTCACCATCATCCTCCATTTGCTCATCTTCTTTGTATATACGTCATGATTTTAACTGGGACACATGTGCCGTTGTCGCAAATCTGCTGTTTTTTGTTTGGTCCAATTCTGCAACACGGTAGACATCTCCCGGTAGTACTTCTATGACAACTAGCGGTCCTCTGTAGCGGTCCTGTAACTTCGTAGACTCCCCAGTAACCGTAGGAACCCTTTTCATGACCACTACTTCTCCATTTGTATAATTGGTGTTGTCGTGCCCGTGCCTATCATACCTGGCCTTGTCCTTGTTCTTCTTGTTCTTCTCTAGTTGTTCACGGACAGCTTCACGTACCTCTTCAGGAGGCTCCCAATTATCCGCAGTTTTTGACAATTCCCTCAGAACACCTTGGTGGAACCGAGGACGATATCCGTGAAGCATCTCGAACGGTGTCCTCGTAGTGACTTTACTTTCGCTATTGTTGATGGAGTTCTATACCTCAGTCAGAATCTCGTCCCAATCCTTGCCTTCTTCAGCGCACGTCATTAACACAGCCATAAGTACACTATGGGTCCGCTCAACCTGTCCATTTGCCTGTGGGTGGCGCGTGGAGGTCAATATGTGGTTGATCCCTTGACCATCACAATATTCTTCGAATACTCGAGCAGTGAAGCACGTCCCTCTATCAGAAATTAACCTTTGAGGTAATCCATAAGCGTTCACAAATTTCTTGACGCACTGCAGCGTCTCATCGGCGCTCGTATTAGCTACAGGGTAAAAATTTACATATTTAGTAAAGTTGTCTACAAAAGTTAGCACATACTTGAAACCGCTCGAAGTGGTAACCAACGGGCCCAAGTGATCAAGGTGTACGGTGTCAAATGGTCTTTTCCCCACAACAATAGGATGCAATAGACCTGGCTGTTTGCCTCTTGGTCCCTTCACCATCAAGCATTCGAAGCACATCTTGATGTGAAATGCAACATACCTCCGCATCTTAACGAACCAAAAGTCCTCTAATATATCAGCAACCGTACGGTCCACAGCAGGGTGCCCTTTCAAATTATGTGCAGCAACCACCAACCCCTTGCGCATAGCCGTTGGTATCACGAACAATAACTTCCCATTAACTCGCCTGTACAGCAGTACGTTCTCCAGAGAAAAACTTTTGTCAACCAAGTTGTAGTCGACTGGATCAGCATTTAGTTTCTGAATAATACTCGACACCTCTTGATCAGCCGCTTGGCACATCCGCACCTTATCTTCGATGGTCAGTAATACACAGACGTCCCATCTATCCTCCAACTCCACGTCGAAGGGAAGTTTTTCACCAGTAGGGCTTACTGGAGCCCTAGACAAAGCATCTACATGACACATCCGATTCCCAGGTCGATATTTGATTGTAAAATCATATTCTTGCAACACATCGTGCCAGCGGGCTACTTGCGCGTTCGTCGCCTTGAATGAGTTCAGATACACAAGCGCCTGGCAGTCCGTGTAAACCACAAATTGCAGTCCCAAGAGGAATTGACGTAACTTACTCATTGCCCACACCACGCACATCAATTCCAACTTGCTGGAATGGTACTTGGATTCAGAATCACTGGTTTTCTTACTTATACAATAAACTAACCTAAGCGAATCGCCAGTCTTCTTGGACTGCAACAGCACAGCGCCAAGTCCTAACGAACTGGCATCAGTATGCAGTTCGGTAACTTCTGCATTTGGATCAAACATAGTAAGAACTGGCGGCTTTGTCAACCGGTCCTTCAGCACACGGAAAGCTCTATCCTGCTTGTCGCTCCACAAGAAATCCGCGTTCTTCTTGGTCAATCGCGTAAGTGGTTCTGCTATGGTCGCATATTCTTCCACAAACCTACGGAAGAAGCTGGTAAGTCCCAAAAACCGTTTCAATGACGTCACGTCGACCGGAGTAGGGAAGTCCGATATCACCCGTGTTTTCAGTTCACCTGGCTGTATCAAACCGCCGCCAATGACAAATCCTAGAAATTCAATCTGCTTGGCACCGAAGGCACACTTCGATGGTTTGAGAGTTAGACGCGCACTCCTCAACAGATCAAACACCAACCTCAGCTTGGACAACATATCGTCCCAGTCAACGGCGTCGATTACCATGTCGTCCAAGTAGTTTCGTACAATTTTCCCATGTAATGGACCCAACACAGTCGCATCAATCGGGTAAACTCTACTACAGCTCCGGATAAGCCAAACGGCATGCGAGTAAACTGACCGGTGGTGTCTTCGGTTATAAATGCAGTTTTCGCGGCCGCCTCGTCCGTTAATGGTATTTGCAGATAACCACTGGCTAAATCCAACTGTGCGAACAATTTGCTGCTCCCCAACGAATTTAGTTGCTCGTTCATATCAGGCAATGGAAAATGTTGCCGGAGGGTTTGCTTGTTAAGGCGTCTGTAATCGACGCAGAGTCTATGCTTGCCAGCGCATTGTTTGACAAGCAACACCGGGCTGGCGTAAGGTGAACGAGTTTCGACCACCAACCCACAGCGCTTCCAATCACTTACGATCCCCTCTATTTCCACCCTGTCAGCCGCCGTCGTTTTATAGGGCTTGCACATAACCGGTTTGCTACCAGTTACCTCCAAAATATCCATCGAAGTCAAAGAGGTACAGCCAAGTTCCTCCAAACTAGTGGCAAAACAGTCCCAATATTCATTTACCAAGTCGGACAGACTCGACCTTGCCGCAACACTCGCATCTCCGTCCACGAACTTGAATTCACTCAAATCAAGTGGTGCACGAGCTAGTTCGCCCTCCGTGCTCACCACATGCAAGCTGTCAAACTCGTTACCCAACGTAACAACGGTAGCGTCAACTAGTTTGTTCACAACGTTTGCTTCTGCGAGTACTAGTTGACTACCAGATTTATAATACGATATAGCAGGTGAATCTAACCAGTTCCTTCCTATAATGGCATCGGGTCCTTGAACGTTGTCAGGTACGATTAGCGTAACTACTGGTCCGGCGTTGACTCCATCAATCACTATTTCGATCACTGCCTCCCCGACAGTCTCGAGGGCAGGCACAACCGTGCTGCCAACACCATACAGCGGTTTTACAAATGGTCGGACGCTTACCCCGCACTTAATTGCAAGCGTCGACTTGAACAACGTGAAATGACTACCTGTATCCAATAGTGCGACAAACTCACAGTCGTTCACAACTCCGACCTTCTGGTACGGATGACGCGCTTCCACGTTCTTCTGCTCAGCAACAATGCTGACTTGCTGCCGGGTCGGGCAATTCGTCACCATATGGCCAGCAGTGCCACAGCGGAAACATGTCATTGGTTTCCGTTTCGTTGGGCAGTCGCGGGAAAGGTGCCCTACCTTGTGACAGTTGAAGCAACTGCCACGCTCGACATCATCAGCCACCTTCTCGGTCCTTCTTGCTCTCTTGGCTCGATGTAGCGGCAACCGCCTTGTCTCCAACCGGTACTGCGCGCCTCCAAGTCTTTTTGTCCTTCGGGAAGTCGCCCGTTGACTGATTCCGTTGCTCACTTGTTTTGTTCGAATTTTTGTACTTGACAGGTCGATCCGACTTCGTGTCCGTTTTTCTCAGCGAGTCCATCCGCTCCCAGTCTAATATGTCTGCCAACAAATCATTTTCGTCCTTATGCACTCTGCACAGAGCATACATGGCCATTTCACGTGAATGCAGACCTTGAATCCCATGGTCCCGTACTTCGTCGAACGTCAGCGAGAGATCGCGGCACAGTCTCACCTTCGACTGAAAGTAGTCCATTGAATGTTCATCCTTGTTCTGATTCCGCCTACGCAACGCGTCCCAGCGATCAGACATACGTGCAGCGCGTATAAACGTCGCATTAAATTGTGTTTTGAAATCCGGACAATTCTGAAACATACGGCCTACGAACCAATCTCTTGCTGCACCCTGTACGTTTGCACGTACAAACTGTAATCGGTATGCGAACGGCCAACAATTTAAATCAGCCACACCTTCGACTGATGTAAGCCGCATGTGTCGATTCGCGACCATTGAAAACTCCTACCGTTTTGTCCAGGTCAGGTAAGACACGGAAATCCAACGCGGGTTGGCGCGTACTTAACTTTGATACCGATCGATTTTGTTCATGGTTATTCGCGTCCCCGTCGTCAGACTTGTTGGACAATAATCTCGCCTGCAATTTATCAATGAGCGCGATAAGTTCATTGTAGGTCGGCCCTTTCGGCTCTTGCGACGCCTGTCCTCCTTGCACATTGTCGTCGTCGCTCGACATATTGAACGATAGCGTCTATCACGACTGTTATCACTAATCAATAACAACAACACGGCGCTTGATAGCGTCTCGGGGATGATCGTGTAATCAACCGCGGTGAGTGTACTCACGGGTACCAATCGCTACTACCTACAACGTCCAGCCTAACCTCTAATTTAGCTCAAGAAGTCGCCACAATAACCACGTTTTTCCGAACTCGAACAACTATCGACGAATACAAATACAATTATACAATACAGTCACCACCGACTATATACAACACTATCGTACGACGTATCGACAACGCTTAACGAGATCGTAGATTAACAATTTCGTATTCGTAACGCACTACGAACACGAACAACGGTTTACGGCGAACGACACGTCTACTCTTACGGCGACCACGGTGATCATAAACGCGCACTACAACTGCGTTCTTCAAACCGAAATCACACTTCTGATATGTTAAGTTCTTCTATTCAATAAACAACGCACAATCGATTTATCACTAAATGTATTTATTAACAATCACTAACAGCTCGGGTCCTCACACACAGTGCGGACCTCCGCTAGTCCGCTCACTAGTACTAACTAGTCGCAACTGACTACTAAAACTAACCTACAGTGGGAGAGCCACACACACTGTCATCGGTGACTCCCACCCATGCCCAGATGTTATCAGACGAAAACCTGAGAGTATCGGCAGACCGCACCTTGGAGATCCATATATACTCTCACGGTTTTCCTCCTGGAAATCCCGACATTGGCGCGTCTGCGTCCTCCGTCGCCGAGGAATCGAAAACCTGAAAGAATCGGCAGACCCTCCGGGGTTTTCGTCCTGGCACGCCGAGGAGTCGCGCACCGCTGGACCATGAAACCCAGGAAGGGTTTCCGTGGGTCCACCGGCGATGCTGACGTCCTATAGCTTTAATATATAGTTCCATAGCTCGCCAGTCGTGTTTGGCAGTCTCCGCCATCGCTGCCGCCGTCACCGTCGCCGTTTCACGTACCGCTTCCCCTTTTTGCCGCCGTCTCGTCTGGCATTCCTCGGCTGAGGTACGGGGACGGGATTCTGCTGGCCGTTATTCCCATCGGTGGCCGCAGCAGCAAAACAGGCGTCCAGCCTGTTTTATGCCTACCCACGCCGTGGACACGTAGCTGCGCCACGTGCGTCCACGACGCGGATGTGCGCCTGCCTGCCGCTCGACCACCGGAACAATAGACACTGTACAGTCCAGACATCCGGTCTTCCCGTTCTTCACCGACGTTCTGCAGTCGGCCTCGGCCGGCTGCATCCCGGGGCAGTCCCCCTCTTCTTTTCCGGTCTTCGCATGGTCGCTGAGGTCCAGAAGTGCAGCCTGTCCACGCTGCGGTTCGGAGTGTCCGCAAGACTGCACTTCCGAAATCTCCTGGTATTGGCCGATGACAGCCGCGCTGACCATCGACACGACGTAGTCGCTCAAATCAGCTCAATCGAACTCCTTCTCTCCGTCGTAAATGACTCCGGTTTCGGTTTCTGTAGAGTATAGTTGTTCAATTTTTGTCATTAGAGCTGCCACAACGTCCATTACGGAAACGTTAAAATAGTCCCGGAGGATCTCTTCATCCTACTCTCGCTGCATAATGGTGTGGAAAACTGTACTTGCTACTCGGGAATGCAAAATGTTATGACCGCAAAACTAGAAAATCATCATAGGCTGTCGTCGAAAAATACAAATATTTCCCAGACGACGGCGATGCCGATAGTTGTTATTATTCTGGCCAGCGAGTACGCGCACGCGCGCGATATGTTCTGATCGGTTGGCGTTAAGATTTCGTTTATTTTTTCAAATCCATTATTATTGGTACCTATATATATTATAGGTACCCATATATACGCGTATAAGTAAAATAATATATTATATTATAATATTTTAACGAGTAATCGTGTTTCCGTTTGTATTTGCATGGTGTACTTATTCAGCCATAGGCGCAAATTGGGGGGGCTAAGCCCCCCAAAAATCTAGGACATACAATTTTAAAATTCTATATTGCAATGGTCTGCTTGCCTTTAATATATTCAGCCCCCAAGTCAAAAGTTGTAATTGCTCCTGTGTACCTATAATATATTTTAAATTCATTATTTTATTTTCTATTATGTATCTAATGGAAAAATACATCCATTAACTTATTATCTACTTTAGCAATGTGCCAATGTCGTAGCGATTCAAATGTCTACGTCTGTTGTTGTCTAATGATTTCTTATTTTCTTATTTTTTTCAATATTTAGCTTGTATTACTTGGTAAGTAGGTAAGTACCTAGCTAGCAGTCATCATATGACCATTGTTCTATGCATATGACTTAAATACTTTATTACCAAATATAAAGAAGATATCAGGTCTAACTTCACTCGTCAACTTATTATAATTATGAGCTATTTATCTTCCAAATTTCAAACCAATCATTTAAAAAATATTGACGTATTCATGATAGCTGTAAGCTGATAATATTGTCAAAGAAGACTTGACTTCAAAATTACCCGATGTATTTATCGGTATTATAATATTTCTAACTATACCAATACCAGTGACATCTGCCTTAGCTGAGCGATCATTTTCAAAGCTTAAATTTGCACAATGATTAAAATTACCTTACTTTAATGCATATAATAACTATTGGTGCAATGTTTAGTGCTTGTGTTTTAACTTATTTGAACCTATACTTAATATAATTTAATAATATATTTTAGATTCTGAGCGGAGCAAGGAAGCTAGTGGTTTTACAATGGTGTTTATTTTTTCTTTTTTTTTTCTTTTTTTTATATCCTGTATACAAAATTTCTACCAGAAGGAGTGCTTTGATTTCAACATATAGTACCTTATCTTTTAGCAAATTGGACCAAGATGGTACTTTAGAGAGGTCATTTTTCGATTTTCTCAATAGTTATTTAATGCCACGGGAAAAAGTACCGAAAAATTACGAAAAACCGCTTAAAATGGGATTTTAATTTCTAACAATTTGTTTATCACCGTAGCAACGAATAAAAAAAATAATAATAAAATAATTAATGACAATATAAAATATACAGACTGACAAACCGTCTCCGTTCAGAATCGTTTTTCTTATACAATGATATTATATCATTGAATTCAAGTTTAATACAATCCATTAAACAATGACCAACTTGTAACCTACTGTACAGCTGAGCGACATCCACTTACCTGCCTTTTTTTTTTTTTTTTAGTTGATTAAAAGTCTTTTTTCAATACATTTTCAATTAAATTTCAATCCCCTAGATTTTGGATAACTTTTCCGTTATGTATTTTTGTGTTTTTGAAAACCATTTTTTACATGATATTCATCTTGGAGGAAAACTAATAGATTCATGTCCGTAATGTTTGAAAAAATTAGTAATGTTAATAAGAATAATATAAAAAAAACTACAATCTCTGATCTCAAAATCGTAATGTGCTACGATTGATATCAATAAAAATTTTTTTTGGAGCAATGTTTAACCCCTGGAGTAAAGTATCCCGCTCTTACGGTATCCGAAAAAAATATTCAAAAATCGTTTGGGAGCTAAACCGCATTTATTCCACAAAATAGTACCTATAGCCAGTGGCGTAAATTAGGTCCAATTTCTGGTGGTGCAGAGGCATATTATTAACCTATAATTTCCAACACAAAAATAATCCAACTTTCTAAGTAAAATCCTTCCTAACAAAAAAAAACTATATATTTATCCATACATTTTGTCAACATTTGAACTTCAAATCCTTATAAAAAAAAATTGTGGCTATGTATTTTTAATATTTTTCAACGCTATTGTAACAATATATCAGGAGCCTTCCATTAAATTTTCACGCTTTTTACCCAACAAATAAAATTTTAATGATATTTATAGAAAAAAAAACTAAAAAAATTAAAAAATGACAATGTCCAGAAACAGCTCAAAGAGAGTTAAAATATTTTCAAAACTTTGTGGTGTATAGAAAATTAAAATATAAATATATAAATTTTCATGTATTTACAGTTATTTGTTTGAATAACAACAAATTAACAAAATCGCTACATAAGACATCTAGTGAATATCCAATCTTGTAAAAATATGATTTTCAAATGCTCATAAAAATTTAATTTGATTTACTTGTGGACATTTTTTTTTTTGATAAAGGCGTATACAAACTTATGAATAATCTTGTATTACATTTTAAAATCTTAGATTTGAAAAGAAACATTTTTATGATTTTTTCAACTCAAATTATATTGTTAATTTTCGTGATTTTTCTGTATTTTGTCAAGATTTGAACTTTAAATGCTTATAAAAAAAACTGTGACTAAGGATTTTTAATAATTTTCTAATGTCATTGTAACAATATAGTTGGAGCCTTTTATTAAATTTCCAAGCTTTTTTACCCAACCAGTGAATATTTCAATTATATATGTAAATGTTAATTTGTTTGGTCAAAAACCAAAATCGATTTTGTCGAAAACCGATTTCGGGTAAAAATTCCTGTTTTTCCTTAATTTTTATGTTGTTTTTCCTGGCGCTTATGAAACCTGAAGAGAATTTTAAAATTTGATTCAATACGACGTCTAGCTATCATCTGACATTTGACTTTTGAGAATTGAATGGACATTGATCCAGTGATAACACACTATTTTGGCGGTAGAATGTTGATAGCAATATAATTTTACCATATTATACCACAGAACAATTATACGTCTATTCTGTGCACGATTAAAGATATAATATCTTTAATCGTGATTCTGTGATACTGCCATAATAAAATACAAAATTCTGTGGATAGTGGTTACCATAGATAATAATCTAACTATTTATGGGGGTTGTACGATATTTTAGAATATAGATAGGCCAGATAGGGTAATAATTTAAATGATAATGTCTAATACATGCACTAAAATAATTATTTTGTACCTCTTTATATATTTCAATGATTTTCTGGTGGTGCAAAAACATACCTTTGCACCACCACATTTTAGATGTGGTGGTGCAAGTGCTGCATTTGCACCACCCAGTTTACGCCACTGCCTATAGCTGGTCTATTATAATTCTTTACATTTTAAGAAATAATTTTTTTTGTGGTGAGGGTGCAAAATATGTTATTCCGAGGCCCAACATTTTCAAACAAGGAGCTTTGAGTAGGGAGGAGGCTCCATAGATGTAGGTATATTGCGTAATTTTAGTCAATACTGAATTCAGGTTTTGACATTTGGTAAAAACCAAATGTTACTTATCAGTTATCATAAGTCATTTATTTAACTATTAGGCATTAGTACTACAATAGGTTAAATTCATTTTTGCCGAAAAAATATAATTTTGTGTATAAAACTATAAAATATAATAATATATTTTAAGAATTTAAAGTAGGTACCCAGGAATAATATTTTTAAATTATAACAAAATAACTAAAATTGTTATTCTTCGTTTAAATACCAAATTTCTTCCAAATTTTGAACTTCAGATGTCTATAAAAAAAAAATGAGTTTTAGTGTTTATATATTTTTTGGTTACAATATGAACTATGTTCGAGAAACCTTGATTTAAATTTTCAATCCTTAACTATAAAAGTTGACAATTTTGTAAATTTTTAACTTCAAATTAATTTGCAAATTTTCATGATTTTGATGAATTTTATCAATATTTTAACCTCAAGAGGGTGAGAGAGCACTATTTGTTTTATTTCTCTGGCCTACTCGCAACATAGACAAAACGCATTAACGCAGAATTATTTTTCTATGTTTTCATGTAATCTTGGAGTAAAATCACACATTACAAAAAATATAGAGAATAATATTTTTGAGTGAATGACTTATCAATTTTATATCTTATTGTTATTTGACTTTGTATTCGACTTTCAAAATAAACAAAAACAATTTGTAAATTTAAATTATGTTTAAATTGTTTTGAGACAATATTTAGGTAAATCGATATGTCATCCTTCAAAAATATTATTCTCTATATTTTTTGTTTTG